TTGTCTTGGGCACTTTTTTTTTCTTTTCGCCCCTTTCTCTTTTATTTTTTTGTTGCCTTTTCTGTTTGCTAGCTAACTTCTTTGGCCAACACGATGGATGGCTCGAAAGCGAAATTTGTAGCGACACACCTCAAGTCATTACAAATTTGTCTCAAGCAATTGGCAATTTTTTACGATTAGATTATATCAGTTTTTTAATTTCTAAGCATTTCAAAAATAGTTTGATTTGTTTTTTTTTTAATTTACAAAAAAAATTACATTTTTTTTTCCTATAAATTACATTTAAATATTCTTTAAAAAAGTAGCAAGCTTTTTAAAAAGTTGTTTACTTTGCGAACGCCCTTTGTTTTACTTTTCTTTCTCTAAATCATTTTTATGACTTTTTGAATGGATTTTTTATGACAATACTTTAGTACTTTGGTTTTAGCCAATTGTCAATTAAGAAATTTTCGCGTTTTTTTATATGTTGTTTATATCACTCACAGTTTTTATTTTTTTTTTATAGCTAAGCCACAACAAAAAACAAAAAAAAAATGGTAATCAGAGAAACCTATTTTTCAAAATATTCAAATTACTTTCTTACTGCAGCTAATTTTCTGTTTAAGGTTAATTTCTATATTTTTTATCTATCTATAATTTTTTTTTTTATAAATTTAAAATTTTTTAGTTAGAATTAGAATTTTTGAAACTTTTAACGACCGATCGCCAGACGCGTTTTTGGCTACGCGCGTTTTCCGAGCGTTTTGCTTTCGACTTGGCGCAGCGACTTGCGACTTCAACAGCGTGCGTTGTGGGCAGAACTGAATCGAGAAACCGAATTTGAGAAAAAGGCAGGAAAAGTGCCGAATTAACGCAGCAGCCGCATGCTGGCTGGAGCTTTTCCTTTCCCATCCCCCGCATTCCAAAGGCTTTTCCTCGAACTCTCTATGAATCTTACTGCATAAAAGCTGTCGCCGTTTGTGGCACGCAAGCTCGGCCGTCACGTGGCAGCAACGAGAACGTGGCCAGTAGCATGTGGCACGCATAACGCCGAATGTGCCGAGCAAAACAAAATCAGCAAAATCAGTGAGCAAAATAAAAAAAAAAATAAATGTAAAAGAAAAATAAACACCTTTTTTTATTATTTGAATTTCCTTCATTTTTGTGGAAAAGTTAAGACTTTAGTTTAGTTTTTTAAGCGAAAAGTATTCCTTCCCCAATTTTGTAGTTTATCAATTAATATTATTATTAGTTAATTTATTCTAACCTCTTAGATACTAATATTATGTGACTAAAACTACAAGATTCAAGTTAAAATTTAACTTGTTTTTCATAGCAAAAATAATGTCTAAAGCAAACTCTAAAAACGCAAATTACTTCAGCATTCAAGAACAACAATTGACTTATTAAATCCATCTGCCTTGGGCTTAAATCTTAGGCAATGATTAAAGTTAATTAAAGCTTGTGTTTCCCCCCAAGGGCTATTTATAAGGTCAATGATTAACCCCCAAAAAACCCGCCACGTAGGTGTCTAATAAATAAAATTTCATTCCTCGTAAGTCAGAGATGAATAATGTGTCGAGTCGCTGGCAAGTCACCTGTGCAAACAAATGCAAGAAAAAACATCAAGAAAGGGGGTTAAAGAAGGTTAAGGGTTAACCGAAAGCTGTTGATCAAGAAGCCATGTTGAGGTAGGGGGTCTTCTGTTTGTTTTGACTTCGCGTCCATTTAGCATATTTCATGGCCAGCAACCGCCCACAGCTTGGCCCACAGCCCGGCCCACAGTCCTGCCTTCACCTTACCGCCCCCACTCCCCCATGGGCACATGAAAAATCCTTTATGGCAAGTGAATGGAATAACCAAACAAGCTGAAAACAAAAAAAAGGAAAACCTGAATGAAAGTCATTGCCGAGAGGCGACTGCACAAAAAATATGCCCTTAAATTCTTAAACTTTTTTTTTGGGGTTTCAATAGTTAATGCTCGATAAGCAATTTCCCGCTCTATTTTTTGGGTAAAGTTTCAAGAAAGTTTGTCACGAAAAAAAAGTGAAAACTCAGCAACAGCAACAGGGGGGTCATAAATTTTGTTTTCGGTCACAACGGAACAGCTTTTCATTGCCATTTCTACCAATGGAGTGCCGAAAAGCCAAGTGCAACACTGCGTATGCTTAATGCCACTATATACCGCAGGAAAAAAGCAAACAAAAAATGCCAAAAGACAGGCTTTGAAAAGGAAGAAATTTCGATGGAAGGATAACTTCCATTTTCAGCGGTTTTATTTGTGTTTTTGTCAGTTTGAATATTTTCTTTCTAGCTTTTCAATAGGAACTCAAGTTTGGGGGAAAGCTGTCTTTTAAGGATTTTAAGCTCAAGAAAACTTTGGCAGAGAGACTTTCGGGACTAAAAAGCTTTAGAATGTCCACAACCATTTAGAGCTTTTAAAAACAAAGGATTATTATCACCCAAAAAGCTTTAAAGATATACCAGCTTTTAGAATTTTAAATTTAAATTTGAAAATAAACGGCATTTTGAAGGAGTCCTTGTCTTTCTAAGCTTTTAAAGGATTGAAGAATTATATTTTATAGATTTTTAAGACTAACCAAAAGAATCATATAAGAAAGAAACATATTTTGGTGTATAATAACATAATTACGAGCCATATGATTTAATCTTGTGACTCCGTAGTCCTTATAGAACTGTACGTCATACATACATATATACATCATTTTATAATATATTTTTTTAAAACAAGCATCTAGACTATACAAATTTTAGATTCTGTCACTTTATTTTTTACAAAAAAATATTTTAACTTTTCATTATCTAGTTTATGAATCTATACCTAGCTTATAAAAGTGGTCCAATCTTAAGAACCTTAAAGTTCAATTCCTTTTTTTTTTAAAGCTCTATTTTTTATACGATTTTTCCTACTAGCCATAAAAAAAAACCGTAACAAGTTTCAATAGTTGAGCTAATTGTTAAATTTTTCCCCTTTGCAAATAAGTGGGTTTTCCCCCCATTGAAATTAAAGTTTTTTATGTCACTGAACTTATGGCTACCCCACGGCCAAGTTGCTGCGCCACTTGCCCCACAACTTGGTAAACCAAAAACACAAAAAAAACCGTCTATAAAGCGCCACTCATCAAATGCAGTCTGAAGCAGTTTAATTGCAAATTGCAGCCAACCCGACTGGACAGGCAATTACAGGGTATGCCAGAAGCCAGAGGAAAAAGGGGAGGGCCTGGTTGGCTCCACACGGCATTAAATCAAATCTGGAAACAGAGCCCATAACTGGGGTCATGCAGAAAGGGTTCAAATTACTATGATGGAGAAAAATGCGACTATAAAATAAAGGGGAAAAAAATATAATAAATTGAAATAGAAAAAAAAAGGAAAAATATTTTTGAACATAAAAATAATAGAGAAATACATAATTAATAACGAAAAGCGCTTTGAAAATATATATAAATTTTGGTGCTCTGAAGCTCTTAACTTCACAAATCACATTCTAAAAAATCTCTAACAGATCGTTATATTTTTTTTTTCTTAAAAAATATATATTTTCTTTCAGTGCCTAGTTGTTTTTCCTCTCAAACCGGGAATTAAAGACAGTTGCTTGCATTCACCCCTTTTTTCTTCAGAAGCGACACTGGAAATGCATTTCCCGCCACGGGCGTGGCTCGTCAAATTTCCTCCCCTTTTATAGCTCATCCCCCCCATTCAATCTCCCCTTCGCCATCCCCATAACTTTTTCCATTTTTACCTGCAACTGCAACTGCAACTGCAACCGCCACCCACCATCATCATCTTCATCATCGGGCACTTGTCTGCCGTTCTTGTGGCGCAGTTTCTATTTCTATTTCTATTTTCATCCTTGCCGGCATCCTTTAACAGCTTCCGCCATGGTGACGCACAGATGGGGTACACAGAACACGAAACAAAATATTTTTCTATGATTTTATAAAGAGTTTTTCAGGTTTAGATATTTTTTTTTGAGAATATAGTATAGAAACTAAAGTAACTAAGGTAAAATTTTTTGTTTATAATTTTAAGGGACTTTTTTTAAGTTTGATTTAGAAAATACTTTTGTCATTTGTCTCAGTGCCTGTTTAATAGGTAGTGGGTGGTTTTAAGGCTTTATGGCAAAGTAAGCAAGGGGGCGTGGTTAGCAACTTCCTTGCCGCCATCCGCCTTCCGCTTGCGTAGGTGTTTTGCTCTCGGCCATCTTTTGGCCTTAGTTTGCCATTTTTCTTCATCTTTTGTGCGCGTTGATGAATTCGTTATCCCCCTTTCTCCCCCTCCTAATCGTTATTGTTAAGGAAAAAAACAAATCCACCTCGCCCATACCAACACAGACACCCACACCCATGGTCACACCTTTGGGGCAATCGTGCCCTGGTTGTAAACAACAGAAAAGAATGAAAACAAAAAACCGCAATAAGTGAACATTTCACTGTCGTCCTCCTTGACGTCAGTAGCAGTTGGAGTAGCAGCTACCGGAGCTACCGCAATATGCAGGAAAAACTCAGGAAAAACCAGAAAACCAAAGCCAGAAGGATCTGGAGATGACTCGTATAGCAGAAGCCGTATAAAAGGCCACAGAAGCCTCGTGGAAAGCTAGGGTGTTGTATGAATTTTAAGGGATTTAAAAAAAATCTAGATCTAGGGACTTGGTATAGCCATATAAAAAGTATATGGAATTTTTTCTAGTTATTTGTCTATTTTATTCATATTTTTTAAAGAGAAGAGTTAGTTTCATTCTTTTATGAGTATAACCCCATTTCCGTATAGAGTATTCCAAAATAAAATCAGAGGAAAAACCGAAGAATGTGCAAGTGAGTCAAAAAAGGATACAAGACAACAGCTATCAAGTGTCAGGACAATAAGGATATCAAGGTGCTAGACAACTAACAAACAAAATATAAAAGACAAATTAAATATTCCATTTTAGGAAATATATTTTTTATCATCTAGTTATCATTGACTTTTACGTTACTAAAATAAAAACATTTTTTAAGGAAATGGCTCTTTTGAAGAACAAAATAATCCTTTTGTTATGTTTATTTCTCCATTTCGAAAAGGCACATTTCCAATTCGATGACGAGGATGGACAGGATGATTTTCCACAACGCTATTCGCGTGAATCGAGTAAACGGAAAAAGTACGAAACCGGCTGGCGATCCGAGGATGATCAGGATCAGGAGCAGATGCAGGCTCAGGACCCCGAACAGGACCCGGATGAACAGCTTTGGCCGCGAGACCACCGAGAGTGTCCTACAAGTATTTGTTCGGCGGAAAATGCAAATGCCTTGCGATTCGAAAAGCCGTGGCCCAAAAAACTAGGATCTGCCAGCAAATTTAATAAGGCAAAAGACGATAAGGATGTGCATAATATGCCCTTAAAATGTGACGAAGATGACGACGACGATGGCGATGATGGGGACGATGATGACGAGGACGACGACGACGATGATGAGGCCGATGATGATGAGTATTTGAGTGACGGTGAGCAGGAAGCTTTTTTGGCAAGGATGAGGTGTCTAATGAAGTCCTTGGACACACACACCCGGGCCATACACCGAAACCTCAAGATCCTGCAATCCCGCATAAACAAGGCCAAAGAAAGAAGTAGCCAAGGTTCGACATGCCGGAAACCGGACTTCTACACTCATCCAAAAGATAAATGGTTTGAAAATCCTCAACAGGAAGAGAAAGAAAACCACCCCGAACAGTGTGTTCCCGAAGCCACCAAAAAGGTCAACAATCGCCAGGACACTCCTGTCTATACTCCTAATAGTCCACACAGCCCTCAAAGGTTGCTAAATCTTCAAGATTCTCAAAGATCTGAAAGTCCTCAAGGATCTCAAAGTCCCCAAAGATCTGATTATATTCAAGATTCTGAAAGCTCTCAAAATCTTGCAACTCCTCAACAATCTCAAAGACAGCAAGAGCCTCAAAGACCTCAAGGCCTTCAAGATTCTCAAGGTCCAGAAAGTTCTCAAGGTGCTCCAGGCCCTCAAAGTCCCCAAAGTCCGCCCTCTAATTCGGATAATAATCTAAAGGTTTCTCCACTATTGAAACTCCTCAATAATCCTGCAGCCCTGCAATCCAAACCGGAATCGCCAGGATATTGGGCTCCTAATCCGGTGCTCACCCGTCCTGAAGATATCTCAGTTCATTTTAATAAAAGGTCAAATCCACGCTACGAGGAGTACGAGGCACGTCTCAGACGTTTGATGGCGAATCGGGATGCTATCGAGAGAAACGTTATGAAAGTAATGGGCACATCACGAAAAATACCACGGAAATAGCTTTTCTTCAAGATTTTTGTCTTTTATGAAGATTTTACACAAAGTTGATTTGAAAGAATTAAAAATAAAGAAATTCTTTGAATAATAGTGGCATAGCTAATGGTTATGGTTTTCTTTTTTCATAAGTTATCTATTTGAAGTATTTAAATTATTATATGAATGGTATTCATAATGGTAGTCCGTTTTAAGAAACACTTGTAAAATAACTATGATCTGGACTTTCAAAAATGTACAATTTTCTGGTTTATCCATTTTTGTGAAATTTTGGAAAAAGTGGATCTTTTAATATGCATAGCTTAGCTAATACTTATTGGATTAATGAACGTTATATGTACCTTCGCGATCTTGCATCATCAAATTTTATCTATTTCTATACAAATATAAGAAACCTACATTTTACAAAATTTTTGCCAATTTTCAAAGGGACAATATAATCATAAAAATGGACAAAAAATAGATAAAATTTTTTATGGACTAAAATACCGAATGTAAATTGAGGGGACTGAAGCTCTAATTAACAAACTTATATTTTGGCTTAACAATTCTTCAAAAATGGCAGAGTTTTTTTGATAAAAAAGAAGAAGAAATTCAAAATGTTGAGTTTTTAGGCCAATTATGAAAGATTTGACACATACTTGGCAGTGTGCGATAACTGAACTGCATAGATGCACTATATATATTATTATAGACTCTATAGACTTTAAGTATAATATTTATTTACAGTTTAGTTTGTAGATCATCACAAACATTGTAGATTGTAGATCAAGAAACTGTTTTTCTATATTATAATTTTAAAAAAATGCTAAAAGTTGTATTATAACCTTTAATCCTCTTTCGGAACTACCTTCTTACCCGGATTGGGCATAAAATTTCATAAAACACATTAATTTAAATTTTAAAACCTAAAATCGCAACTACCCAGACGATTTCCATCAATATTTGACACATAATCCAAAAACTACTAAAAACCTTCCAAATATTTCATTTTCTATGGAAAGCCATACAAAAATCTAAAAACGTAGTAGTCTGTGGACCATTTTTCGCCATATACCTGGATCTAGCCCCCAACTCTATTCATTCAACTTACGAGCATCGAACAGAAAGCATCTAAAAAAAAAAAAATAAAAAAAATAAAAATTTCAAAAATTATCGAGAAACGTAAAAAACCTAAATAATCATGTTTCTGTTTTTTCATGTCGTTGGATTTCTATGCCTGACCCTTGGAATGGGAGTTTCTCGAATGGCTCTTCCGCCCGTTGCTGCAAAATCGCTAGCTAATAACGCTGCTGAGGTGGAACAAGAACAGATACTGTTGGATGCTGATAATCATGCAACACCTTCTGCTACGATGTCTGCCATGGACGAGATCGAGGACATTGAGCTAGACGAGAATACGCCGGCTAGCACTCCCGGTGACTTCGAAGAGGCTACTGAAGACACTTCTGACGAGACTTCTGAAGCAGAAATCGAGAAGCCGGTGAGGATGTGCAAGCGGATCAAGTTCCATAAGTTGGAGAAGGTTGTACACATTACCCCTGGATCACCATTGAAGTCACAGTTGCAGCCACCAAAGAACTGGGAAAAATCCTGGTCCGATTTTCTGTCACGATCCGAAGCTTTGAGGCACACCCGTAAGTTCGTAATCGGTCTCCAGAAGGACGAGCAGGATAATGATCAATGGGAATAATGAACACCAGCTCCATTAGATGTCTAACAACAAGAAAACTACAAGGGACACGTATCTCTCACAAAGACCTCCAAAAACATAACAAAAACAAAAACATTTCTGGGTTCCTCCTAACAAATTTGATGTTAATTTTACGTTAATTGTTAATTGTTTTTCTTGGCCTGACGCACATTTATAACGTTTCTTTACAAATAAGACTACAAAATAAAAAACACTAAACACAGAATGGTTTTTCCCTTTGAATTTAAACGCAACTTTCTAGGAAATATTTAGTAGAAGTAAAGTTTTGGTAAATTTTTCAAAAAAAATATATATTGTTTTGGAAAGAAATAATAAATATTCCATTAAATTGACATACAAAGCAAAGGACTTTGCGTTTTCTATATTTGTGAAATATTTCATATCAATTTCATATTTCATTCCATTTTTATTTAAAACCCAGTAGTCTTTGCTTTATAAATTGCATTTGACAGACAGATGAAACAAAATTTAATAGAAAGCCTTACAAGAAGTGAACACAAATTACTAAGAAAATAATAACAAGAAAGACTACGAGTTCTGCAAGTGTTCGTGCCAAAAAAAAAAGTTCATTCTTAAGCAGGTAAGTTAGTGACAATAAACTCATAAAAAGATAATTATAAATCATTAATTTCCATTAAAAAAAAACCATTTCATATTTAATATTTCTCATATTTTTGTAAATCAATTTCAAAGACACATTCCGACACCACACCCTTCCACACATTGCGGCTAAGAAAATTGCAATTTGTTGCTCAACTTTCTGCCAAATCATCGAATTGAATCGAGTCAACTTTGACAGATTTTCCTGCTGAGTCAGCCGGAAGATTTTTCCCAACCCCTTTCCTCCCCGCTACCCACAACTCTCTTCAATTTTTCCGTAGATTTTCCGACATTTTTGGTGCCAACTTTTCGTGGCTGAGGTGCCAAAACCAGTCAATCATTCATTTCCACTGTCTGCTGCAACCAGTTGCAGTCGGTTGCCGAAAAAGTTCTCTGAATACCGAGTTGCGAACTCTGAGTTCTGAGTTCTGTCAAATTAGTGCAGCCTATTTCAGTTGTCAAAGCACAATCAGTCACGCCCCCTAAGCCACTAGGCCCCTCGAATCTCGTCTCTTTCCCTGAAAAAGTGTCAGGGCGGAATGTGAGCAACAGCAATTTTGCTTCAATCCAAGTGATTTTTTGTTGGAGTTGAAAAGTGTACTTTGTAGAGGGATTTTAAATGCTCTATTAAAAGATATTTTTCAATAATGGTATCTACTTTAATGTAAAAGAAATAAAAACCTTCATGCAGTAAACTAGAATATGAGAAGTACCGGGGATCACATAGTTTATTTAAAATTTATCATTTTTGTAAGCTAAAATTAAAGTTTTAATTAAAAAACCTCAAACACAATTTCAGTTCAAATTACATGTCCTTTAAAAACTTCCACTACTCTTTTATGAATAAGAGTATATACATTTTCCATTTTCAAACTTTTCAACCAACTCGTCTGATTCTCATGTGTGTGTGTGCGTAGGCTTTTGTGTGTGTGAGTGCCTATGTATGTGTGTGACATGTCTTTGTGTAGGTGAACTTGTGGGTTTTCTTATTTGCCAAACGCTTGTCGCTCGACTTGCCTCGAAATGGCTCAAAGCAATTTTCAAATTGTTTTCACAATCACAACAAAATCGATTTGCAAATATCCTTGCAACAACAAGTGCCACGCCCACACACAAAAATATGTCCAAATTTGTGTGTCCTTTGCGAGAATATGTGTTTTACGTCTGTTTTCTAGCAACAATTATGTCCAGAAAGCAGTTAAAATGTTTATGGCCTACTTCAAGGATTTCGCTTTCGAAAAAAAACAGAAGAAAAGGGAAAGATTTGTTCTTCGGATTTCCTGTGATTTATTTCCGCTGATAAAGTGCGATTTCTAAAAGCGATTTATTCAAACAAATCTTTTTCTTTTATTCCAATCACAGCCCCCTATTACTTTCTTATTTTTTTTTTTTTTTGTCAATTCAGCTGATTGTTTTTATGTTCTTGTCAATTGTTTTGTCGCCTTTTCTCTTTTGTCGCGTTTGTTGATTTTTTGTATATTTTTATGAGGTACTTTTCTGGACTTTTCCGGTCTGTTTGTGTTTGTCTCTCCATCGGACGGCATCGTATAATAACTTATCGAGGGCCTCCACAATCCACGGCTGGCTAAACATCTACAACTTTTCAGTCGGTTTCAGTTTTTTATTAAATTTTTGCTCGCCGCGACGTTTAATAAACGAGAAATAGCTGGCATAGCATCGCGCCACATGGCGTATACTTGATGTGTCAAGCGCGGGCCAGGACGAAAAAGTTAGAAGGGGCGTACATAGAAGGAGGACGCATAAAGATGGAGGGTGATGGGAACCGCAGCTTAAATGCCAGTTTAAACAGGGGCGGTTAGGTAGTGGGGGCCCGTGTGCTGTGCTGGCCCGGCCCAAAACTAAATTATGAATGAACGAAAAGGTGAAAAAAAATAAACGTCCCAGCTGCAAAAATTTTTACTGAGAAAAAATTAGGTAATTAATTGAAAGACATTTTTTTAGCTACTTTAGTTGATAAACAAAATTATTTAAGCATTAAAAAATAAATAAATAAGCATTAAAAGTCAATTAAAGAAATTGTAAGAAACATTAAAGAAAACTAGGAGAGTACCGGGTATCGTATAGTTTTTCGGTTAATTTCTTTATTTTTTTCTAAAATAATTGTTAATAAATTTTAAAATAAATTCTAAAATCAAATTAAGACTCTCTAATATTGTTAAAAACAATATCTTTTTGGCTAACTTAAGATTCTTTATTAATAATTTAACGGAAAGTAATACCGATAGTAAGCTTTAAAAGAAGAGCCACCTGAAGTACCTCAACAAACTTCCCATTGATAAACATTTTTGGTAAAAACCCTGGTCTTAAATAGCTCCTTAAGAATTCCACCTTTTTAGATTTCCCATAAATATCCTGTCATTTTGTTTAACGAATGTTGGAACCTTGCCTGCCCGACATTCGAACAAGAAACACCTGATTGTGATCAGTGGAACAAGCAGAATCCTTGCCTGCCTTGCACTTTGCACTTGTCTTGGCAAGGTCAGAACAGCAGGTGTAGGCCAAAGGGAGGGGGTGCCAGGTTGGCGGGGATGGTAGTTGCAAGTAAGGATGGTTGCAACTAGGAATGGGTTTCGCCTCTAGGGTGGTTCTAGCTGGTTGCCTTTGCTGCTGAACTTGAACTTTGTCAGAACAGAACCGAAAACAGATGCTCGCCTGTCTGCTAAGTCGGCTT